TAAAATAAATAAATATATATATATATATATATATATATATATATATATATATATATATATATATATATATATATATATCACAGCTAATGGAGATGCGATGCTATAAACAGCGGATATTCACTTTGCTCAGGAAGGTTAGGCTAATCACAACCATACAAAGTTCTGTAACTCATTGCGTTGTTTTGATGCAACAAAATATGAATCAACATAGTTTTATGTAACCTTTCATTGTGTAGAATACAAATACACTTAATGAACATATTCAGCTTATCATTTAAATATATGTGTTTTTACTGGTCATAAACAGAACCACAGCTTTGCAGGTGTCGCCAGCAGCATAAGCTAATATAACAACAACTATAGATTCTCATTTCATTTTAATTTTATGGTCTGAATTAACTGATGACAAAAATTTGCATTCAAGTAAGAGTAGCATATTTTTACTCAAGTTTTTTACTCTTCACTAAGAAATTACTCAAGAGCAAAAAAGTATTTAGTAAAAAGGCTATGTCCTGACCCCGCCTCTCGCCCGGAACGTTAGCTGGAGATAGGCACCAGCACCCCTCCCGACCCCACTGAGGGACAAGGGTGTTCAGAAAATGGATGGATGGCTATGTCCTGAGTAGTTGTTTACAATATCATAATATTTAGAAATTAAGTAATCAGACAGACAAAAACGTAGAGTTATGTGCTAATTCTTTTATTTATAGACTAAAATGAAGAAAAAAATGCTAATAGATAACATGATTACAAAATAAGACATTTTAAGCAGAGGAAACACTTTTCTATTTTTTTTATAAAAACTTGACAGTTCTTTCCTCCTCTATAGGATCTGGAAGTCATGTCCAGCTACAAAGTTTGCTTATAACCTGAGCTGGCTCTGCTGTACGAATATTTAGCACAGTTTCCAAAAATTCAGTTAGCATGATGCAGAGTAAACCTTATCAATATTTAAAAGGTGGCAAAAATGACTGGTTGAAGAAAATTTTGTCTCATAGTTTTGTTAAAAATAAAGGAAACAATAGAAATAGGTGTAGTACATTTTTAAGAGGAACATTAAAAAAAATTATGAACTGGTAAGTTTGAAAATTTTGATCTGCTCATCTCTATTGTTACTCTAACTGGGGATGCTTTAGGCTACATCTCAGTACCTGCTTCATACAGAAAGATTATTCAGCCTGGATTATAAAAAGTGAATGGCGAGAATGCGGCAAAGATATTCACAATTTTATTTTATTTTATTTTATTTTATTTTATTTTATTTTTTACGACGGAGGGGGGTTTGTTGCCAAGTAGAAATATTTCCGACAGTCCCTGAAGTATTCAGGGCGGGATTTTTGTTGGAAGTAGGCGGGGATATGCAAATGAGGCATAGATGCTCTGGCTGCTGTGGACGGCGGGACACTTGCTGTTTTGGGAGAACCGGAGCACGAGGAGAGGAGAAATACCGGGTGGACAGAAAAAACTAGTAGACCCACATTTCCTAGAGCTCCAACATGGCCTCGAAGTGCCCCAAGTGCGACAAGACGGTGTATTTCGGTGAGTAATGCAAGCAGAGTGGACTTTTGTGTGCTTAAATTACATTTGATAATAACGGTGTCGCTAATTTAAATGTAAACATTTTTAAACAGTAAACATTTGAGTCCATGCAGTGTTGTTTTTAGATGTTGTCGATTGTAACAATTATGTTTGTGCTACGAAGATATATGATAAGTAACACTGCTTTTTTTTTTTAAAATAAAGTTTAGAATGTGAGCACATCTTCCACCTACATATTTGGTAAAATTTGTCTGCTGTTGGGGCTATGATAAATTATCACTGTACTGGCGGGAAATATTTAAACTTTTCCTAGTTTTCCCCTAAGGATTCCTCACAGAAGTCCTCAACATTCCTTTCACTGGGCCAATTTTAGGGGTCATAGTCACTAGAAAAGTAAATGATTCACTTGAGCAAACTCTGTGAAACTCAAAAGCTGTAGATTTGAAGGGGTTAATGAACAAAAAGAAAGTAAACAAACACGTTTTTTCATTGATTGAGCCCTCTTTATGTCATCAAGTGGTGGTCAGTGTGAAAATTTGTGATGTTTGTGCCGTCTGCTGCAAATCAGATGAAGGATTTATCCCGCTCTGAGTCCGATCTGTGCCATTTTTAATTTGTTGTGTTTGGTAAAGCTCCAAGCTCGGCGGTTGGCTCTGGAGAATAGCTGTCAGAGACCTATTGCCAAGAGAGCCATATGCTAAGAGTGTCCACTCACAGAAGATGGTAGCAACATCACGCGGCGTCAGTGGGATGGAAACCTGGAAATGTACATCCTTTTCATCCTTGTAAACAAAACTGAGAAATCAAAACACCCACATGACGAGAGCTCTGACTCATACTTCCATACAGCGAGGATGATTACTACTTATATGCTCTGTTTTATGAAAAGATGCTTACAGTTTGAGATGTGCCTAGATTATAGGAGCTCAGATTCTCAACATAAACAGTAATTTACATCCTCTGCTCTTCATGTTCATCCTCTGTTGATTTTTTTTTTCTTAATTTAAGCTTGTGCTGTTGATATTTTTTTATAATCCATTGTTTGTGTTGGAAAAAACACAGAAAGCACAGCTCTACGCAATTCACAGTGCTCATCAGTGGGGGTCAAAAGCAATTATGTGAGTGGATGGAAGGACTGTTGCGTAACAGAAGCGGCCCGCAGCACGCAACACAGCTGCTCCTCATCCTCCGGGTCACTGGCATGGAATAACATCCCTACAAATAAGATTTATTTACAGATTTCAAACATATGAGTATTCACTTCTCTCTGTAGCCTTAATTCTCTGCAGCGTGTGAATCACCGCTCCCCTTTGGTGTGTGTTATTTGTCTTTATGTAACGCACTTTGGTCCGGGACAGTTATTTTTGCGTGAGGTGTGTCCTTCTGGGACGAGCAAGTGATGAAGATGATGAAGGGATCATGGAGGAGTGCAGGGAGGCGTTAATGACAATATTAACGTTTCAGTCATTTTAGAGCGAAGCTGTGAAATGCGCAAGGAGGAATGGGAGAGGTCAGGGTGGGAGTAACATTTGGCCTGCAGCAATAACAGCATGCCTAATGACAGTCAGATACTGTAAAAGAAAAAGTTCAGCTGCACTACCTACACACACACACACACACACACACACACACACACACACACACACACACACACACACACACATACTCCTTACAATTATATTGCTCCTGAAAGAGGTGAGGAATTCTGAGCAGGGGTGAATTAACAAGTCTGCAGGAATGTAGAAGTTACAAAGCAGACATGAGTGGGTGTGATGATCAATCCTTCTGTCCATTGTGTTCCCCTTATGAGGTTGTGGTGCTTCGAAGGTAAAAAGTCCAGGAAGATATAGAAGACTTCTCCCCACGGATACTCTCCAGCTGAGTTTTAAGTGGCCGGAAAACCTTCAGAGGGAGATGTTTTGATCAGAGGGCCGAGCTATCTCAGAGGACTCCTTTTGCCCTGCAGGACTGCTGACTTTACTTGGAGGTCATTGGCTTATCTCTGACCTCCTTCTTTCCAGTTCTTTTGGACTTGATCCATCTCTTATTAACATCGGAGAAGGTTGGACGGTTCTAAGAAATGTATAATCTCGCTATTTGGCTCAGGTCTTTCATCAACTGAGTCCTTTCTACGTGGAGGGGCAGTGGCTCGACTTTGAGATCTCCCCTTAGATATTCGAGATATTCGGCTTATCTCTAAAGGTGAGCCCAGCCAACCAATGAAGGAAGCTAATCTCAGTCATTTATATGCAAGGTGTGGTTGTTTTGGTCATGAACTATATGTCATGTTGGGGTTTAGCGAGACCAGTAACTTGAGATCTTTGCTTTCTAGTCCTTTTTCACATGACTTGTTGACGCATCGGAAAATCGAGAGTTTTGCTCTTTCGACCATATTTTTCTACGTTTGAGTCCTTTCAATGTGGAAGAGCAGCAGCTCTTGTCAGAGCTCCCCTGGATAATGGAGCAAGCTGTCAGTCTTGAGGTCATTATCTGAATCTCACATTGATCATAACTCCTTTCATTGTGAAGGATCGAGGGCTTTACCTAGACCTCCTCCTGAATGGTTCGGTTCCTGACCATGTCCAATATCCCTATGAAGGAATTTTAGCCCAGCTGTCTTCATCCATTCCACCATCATTTGTGGTTGATGGCAAGGAACTTGAACTCTACCACACAGGCTGACCTCCTAGTCCATCATATTCTTTTTATTCAGAACTTTAGGTTTACTCTCACAGCTCCTTAATATCCAGTTTTGAACCGCTTTCATGCTGAAGGTCACTGACTGAGAATGCCTGCAGAACCACATCATCTGCAAAAGGCAAATATGATGCACTGAAGTTCCTAAACAAAGACTCTCTTCTCTCCATGACTATGCCTTTAATTTTTTCAAATGTTCTCAAAAGTGTGTCATTGGTGAAGAAAATTGTCTATTTCCTGTCTTGTTTAGCTCTCCTTTTTCTTCATGCGTTGGCGTGAAGAAAAAGGCAAGTAGCTACTTCTACTTGCCCACCCTGTAAAAACCCACCTGGCCCTCCATCTGGTTCCCTTAGCATGGGGTTAAGCAGCAGTAGATTCATTATTTAACTCCAATTTTTTTTTCTTCATCTTTTCTGAATAGAAATACTTTTTCAAAGGGCAGTGGTGAGCCGCGGCTGGGATGGAAATTCCTCTGGTTTTCCGTTGAAGCTTTATTGGGCACTGACGTTTTAGCTTAATTGCAACTTAAGGGGAAAATGTTACCTCTACTTCTGGAGTTTCTGCCACTTAAAATGCTGATTTGCTTTCAGGGACCCCAAAAGAAAAACGTCAGGAATATAAAAAAAAAAGGAAATCCCTCATCAGAGTTGGTATTGAAAGAATGCGAATGTCTCAGGGGATTGTATGGGTATGGTTGGTTGAATACCACATGTCCACATTGTGGCCTCACATCTGGAAGGGGACAGAAATGCTTGTAGTAATACACCGAGGGGACTCTAGGCAGACATGTAGCCAGGCCCAGTGGGAATTCAGGCCATGTGATGGAGTCCAAGCCTGAATTCAGCTGATATATCGTTTGCACGACAAACGGGGGCAATGCATCTTTGTGCCGCTAACTGAATAAACGAGGACTTAATGGGAACTAATGGAGCTCCTGGGTGAGCTACTTCTTTCTCTCTTTTATCCACCGACTCCTCTCAGGCTCTTGGTGGCGGCCCAGGACCTGTAATTCCTCCTCCACTTTCCTTTTCGCTCTAACTGCACGGAATGGGGAAAGCAGGGTGAGATGGTTTTGCCTTTCTTTAAGCGGAGACTCCCTGAGTGCTTCATGCATTCTAATGAGAGGCGATCTCTATTCACACAGGGCTCTTTCTGTCTCTGCGCACGGTTCTCCTTCCAGAGAGCCCGAGTACCTTCATCCCCTCGGTCTGCTTAGACCGAGGGGACGAAAGGCCAGCGGTCCGTTTCCCACACACCTCTCCCCTTTTATTCCCACTTTTATCCCACACAATACACCTTATTTATCCCACCCCGCTTTTCTGTCAACGCTAGAGCACCCTGTTTTCCACTTGGCTGCCCAGCGGGGCTGGATGAATGTGCCTTGTCGGTTATGTAACATCTTTTCTTGAGGTTTTTTCCTCCTGCTTTTTTTGGAATTGCATAACCCACCAGCTCCTGTGCGGCAGTCAGCGAGGGTCTTCTTTCTCTGCCTTTATGAGGCACAAATATGATCCTCTAATGGAGATGGCATTAAGCTTGGTGCTGACGGCTCATCTTGTACCACTGCTTCGCACACAGGTACAACCGTTGCTGTGGTTTGACTTGTTACGCAACAGCATAGAGGAGCACAGTCGGTTGTTCATCCTAGTGCACACGGTATTCTCCCTGTTCCCTGAATGAAAGATGAGGTTGGCACAAATATTAGTATGCCTACTATTACAGAATGGCACTTAAACTGTAAAATTTTTCAAGGTTAGAACAAACACAGGGAGTGGCATTTTTTTTGTTGCAGTGTTGGCTACTGAAAAGCCCAATCTTGTTTTTAATGCACCCACAGGCCTGTCACGATAACAAATTTAGCTGGACGATAAATTGTCCCAGAAATTATCGCGATAACCGATAATATTGTTTTGAGACCATTTTCAACGAATGTTATAGTAATGGCAAAATAATGCAAGAACACGTTTCCAAAAAGCAATAAGCTTTAAATTCTCATGGACATTTAACACTGGAAGTGGGAGACTTATTAAATATCAAAGATAAGTAAACACAGCAACACAGGTGGCCTTCAAAAAAGGGGCTAGTTGAAACCAAAACATCAAACTGAAGACTATCTCAGTTTTTTGTAGAAAGAGAAGAAAACAGGAAAACGATTAACCATACCAATGGAAATTATTGAGCTTGTTTTAATTGATCATGCAATTAATTAATTTATTGATCACTATGACAGGCCTATGCACACAGTTCCAGTTAAACCAGGGGTTTACCTGGTTAAATAAAGGAAATTAAAACAAAACTTCCAG